AAACTGATCTCCAGTGCTCCTTAGAGAGGTTCGCAGCCAAGTGCGACGTGACCGGCATGCGTGTGAACGCATCTAAAGCGAAAAGTCTAGTGCTTTCTCATTCTCCTGCCCGTTGCTCTCTTCAGATTAACGGAGAGGCAGTGGAGCAGGTGGAGAAGTTCAAGTAGTTCGGAACTGTATTTACTGGCGATGGAAAGTTGGAGGAAGAGATCGACCGGCGAATTGGAGTAGCCAGTAGCGTTCTGCGTGAATTAGCCCGACCCATTGTGACTAAAGCAGAGCTCAGTCTGAAAACGAAGCTCCGAATATTCAAGTCAATCTCTATCCCCATACTTACCTACGGTCGTGAATCGTGGACCATCACTGAAAAACTTCGTATCCTTGCACAAGCTGCTAAAATGGGCTTTCTTAGACGAGTCGCTGGCCTTACGCTTCTCGACATGGTCGAGAACAGTGACATCCGTAAGAGCGTTGGAATTCAGCCTTTGCTTCTCCAGACTGAGAAGTGACAGCTACGATGGCTTGGGCATGTGTTGCTAATGCCTCCAGGAAGGAAGGCTAAGCAACAGTTGCATGCAAATCCGACCGGCAGAAGGCGCATGGGACGGCCAAATTGAAACTGGTGCAAATATATGGAAGGAGCCTGTTTCAGACTCCATTTGTCTTTTGCCGAAGCTCAGACGCTGGCAAAGGATCGGGAGCGTTGTAAGCTGTCTCTGATGTGTCTGCCTTTGCAACCCTAAGGGAGAAGCGGCGATGGAAGATGATGATATCAGTTCAAGTAAAGTAAAATATAATTAGCAGCAAAATCATAACAAAAAACGAATATATTGGTGACGTTTATGAACAATAACTGAGGAAGTATATTGTTGCACGGAATGCACGATACTAAATTTTTAGATGGTCTACTGACCTCCTGAAAACTTCTTTTGTAAAATTTTTTTGTTAAGTTTAATAGTGCTGAAACACAATACGACAAAAAGCGAAAAGTATAACTTCCCCATCTAATTTATCCTCAAAAATTTCCTAGTACGTGAATTGAGGCTGTACTTTACCTAGTACATTAAGGATTCTATAAAGCGATGAAATAGTTCTGTTTCGAACTAAGTTCAGAGTTACGTTGAATCATATGGATGATCCTGCTCGGAACTGTGACTTGCTTAAAAATACTAATTACTCTGGTCGCTTAACGTTTCTTCCAATTATGACTCTCATGATCCGATTTTAGGTGTTACTCGAATGTACCTGTTTAGCTAGACATAGTGACGCGGCATGGCCATTGCATTGCATGCGCCTAAACATCATGGAGCCATGAAATATGTAGATAATCCTCGCAGATTACTACAAAGAGGCAATGTTGCAGTGCAACCTGCTGTAAAGACTGCCGTCCCTCTTACTGCATCGCTGCATTGCCGTAAGGTAGGTAACCTCTATACTTTTCGCTATGTAAATTATCAGCTGAAAAATATTTGCCGGCTACAAATCAGAATATCGCCTTACTTGGTAGCTGCCCCATGCTATCAGGGCTATATACTGGTTGCAGTTTTAAATACTTGATATGGATCTAGCTTTCGCTTATCTCTTGGAACTACACACTGCGCTATTATACCTACGCGACAACTATGCTTATGCCTAAAATGGGTTGCAGGCAAATTTTTAGAAACTGAATTTAATTTAATTACAATCTTTTATTCAGTCACACGAAAGATTTTTCAATGCAGACCATACGAATGCAGCTTCGTAGCAAGTTATCTATGAAATGTATAGTTTCAGGGACAGAGAAACCATTGAAAAAAAGAAATCGACCTTTCAATTAATTCTGATTAATCATCACTTCAATACTACGTACAATCAAAGTAAATCTAGTTTTCATCATAGGTTATTCATTTGTCAAATATGTCGTTAAGGAACATTGTCTGTCTGTACTGAAACAGTCGACTCGAATTTTGACTTCAGCATATAGCGTACACACCAAAGGAAGACATTATGATGAACAAGGAAAACAGCATCAACTTTTGAGAAAATATGAATCAGAAGAGACAAAAACAGTGAACCAAAATCCTAGATATCAAACTGACTTAGAGGCAAAGGAAGAGATTAAGTAGCTAAACCTGAAACGTTGAGCCACTGCAGTTGCAAGGTTTGGCGCTGACAACACAGCTATGTGATCTTTGAGGATTTTCATTGCCCATTAACACAGTCAAGCACAAGTAGGAATGACAGTGACTAGCGGCGCTCTACGAGAACATCAGTGGACGATGCTTATTCAAGAATGTAAACGCGCGACGTTATGTCTTTCACTAGCCACTCCATGGCCTCCACTAAATTCTGACCAGTAACGGCTGAGCAAGAAACAATGTTCCAATGATGTGAAGATGTTATCGAGTCAAGGTCGAGCTCTGTTCTGATTTCATCGGCAGTTAGTGCTCCAAGCAAGTCCTGTTTGTTGGCCATGACCAACAACGTCGCGCCCAAGAGTCGTTCCTCATACAATAACTTTTTCAGTTCCTTTTTACAATCCTGAAACAATGTTTAGAAACTTAAAAATGGTGCTTACACGGTATCACGTCTCAGAGAACTTACTGGCATACGTAGTCGGTCTGAAGAGTCTACTACCCAAATTAAGCCATCAGTTTCTTCAAAATAATTGCGCCAATAACTGCGAAGAGATTTTTGGCCACCAACGTCCCAGATATTCAGACTCCAGCCCATAAGTTCCACCGTTTCAATATTGAATCCTAAAATTTTTTGATTATCACGCAGAATATACTCTTTGCACAGCAATTCAAAGAATATATGGTTCTTTGCGAAAAAGTTATACTTGTACTGTCATAAACTACGCCAAAATTAGTTTCACTATTTCATTTAGCTGCTTGACCGAAAAGATGAAACAGCAAAAATAGCGTATGACTGAAGACTGATAGTGAACATATATTGAAGGAGCAAAAATTGCAGATACAGAGAAAAAATTAAAGCCTCCTTGGTAGGGTGCTCCTCCAGCGGTCCAACAACGAATAACGCTAAAGTTGAAATGCTAAGTACTGATAATGTCACAGGATCGATATTGGACCAAAGTTACTACAATATCTGCCTCAGCAGGTTACAGAATGCTGCTTCACATACGCGTTCAGAAAGAGACTAGTCAAGCATCGACTCAGTCTATAGCCGTTCTGCACTGGATTCCTTGAGATACCAGTGAATGGAGGAAAGGTACATAAACAAGATCTAATGATTGACAAGAATGCAGCTTAAGGTGTGAAGCTTCACCAAAGCACAATAAAGTTTAAAGTCAAACACAGCACTCGACACGGTGATCTAATGTTACCCAAGTTATTCACAACAGCCATAGAAAAAGCTTTCAAAACATTTCGTTAAGAAAACTGGGGGCTTAAGATAAATGGAGATCATTTAAGCCAGCCGAGATTTGTGGATAACATTCTGATCCTATCAAGGGCATCGGAATTCCAAACGACGCCAGCATCAAGTGTACTGAAACTGAACCTGAAAAAGATTAGAGTAATGCTTAACAAAGTCGTGAAACCATGACCTGTCGAAATCAACGAATTTCGAATTGAAGGGGCACAAAACTGCGCAGATTTGGAAACGCTAATCGATGCAATGGAGAAGCGACTCTGTAAAATCAACACAATAATAACGGCATGTAGAATTTTCAGAAGACTGAAAATTTATCTTCCTTTAAACCGCTCTTCTACCTAAAGCTGTTTTCAATCACTGTGCACTCCCAGCGCTAACCTATGAGTGAGAAACGTGAACCTAAAGCCTAAAAGCTCTTTCTAAACTACAAACTACCCAACGCAGAATGAAAACGTTTTTGAAAATAACAAGAATAAGAAAAAGAACGAATGGGTAAGATTACACACTAGAGTCTAACATGTCATTGCATGAGAACAGAAGTCAAAGGCTATGAGCAAGAAAAGTTACAAGAATGGACCAACGCTGGAGCTGGACCATGAGTTCTAGGGAGAGTAAGTAGTCTGTAGGAAGACCTCTTGATCGATGGCAAGAGGAGTCGACGATGGATAACAATCGCAAGAAACAAAAGTTTACGACAAAGTCATGGAGAAGCCTTCATCCAGCAGTGGCCTGAAAAATGCCGATGATAATGCTTTGCTATTGTTTTAGACTTCGGTTAAGTTTCTTTTATAGCTTTCATTTGGTCCGCATAAGAAAAAAAAGGAAACCAATCGAAAACAACCCGATGTTCGAGGTAGAGTTCACGAGTGGGAGCTTTCGATATCGCCGGTAAATATGATAATAAAATAAAGACATTGAACTGAAACGGCGAAAATGCAGAATTAAAGAAGGAAAAGTGCATTTCTCACTTTACACCAATATTTAAGATTTAATATCATATATTTAACCGCGATATCGAAAGCTTCTACCCGCGGAGTTTACCCCAGAATATGTTTTCGATTTGTCTTCGCCTACGGTTCGTGGCGCTTGAACTTGAACGTTTTTTTCAACCCAATTAGCAGACGGGGATTTACGTCCTATGCATTGCAGGCGCTTAAATACCATAGAGCAGTGGCCTGATAAATGGCCCTCTACGCAACTAGACGCACGGGCGGCACAATAAGCCAGTTGGTCTAAAGCGAGAAATATATTTTTTCTTCTTTACACACTACATTTTCGACGTTTCAATCCGTTATCATTATTTTAATACCAAAAGAAAAGAAAGTTGATAACCATCGACAAGTCTTTTCCCTACACTCCCGTAATGGATAGATCTGCAGTACCATTTCCTTGATAGAACTTATGATCTCCGTTTCTATGTGATCAGCCCAGAATGTCTCATTTCAAGGGTAATATCGAATCTACAAGTACGTGGCAAGTACATATCGTAACGTTCTGATTTTTTTTTCTTCCAAAGTGGCACTCGATCACGAATCTCAAAAATATTAAAGCAGAGAAACCTGACTTGGACCCGAACCTCAGCCTTTCAAACATGGAGTTCGATGCTCCACTGACTAAACAGTCATTATCGTCTGCCTAGGCAAGTTGCAAATTTTCATATCCCACCTGCTTGGGGTTTTTTTTATAAAGAAGCGATCAGACAAATAGACCAATTGTAATAAAGTTTAAAAACAAGTGTCTAACTTTACTTCTGGAAATGAATGCGGTCATTACCAAAAAACTGCAAGTGGCCAGCATAATGACAACATCAACAATGGCACACTGATTTACCTAAAGTCGGTGACACAGAGTCCGTGTCTTCTCCATTCAACTTTTTCAGAATAGTCGTTTTGCCCGCGTTGTCCAAGCCCAGAACGACAATACGCATTTCATTTTCCTTCTGCTTCATTTTTCGAATAATGGTCAAAAAACCCATGGCCACCAGGAAGCAGCACTTTATCAGTGAAACAGTCAAAAATAAAATTTAAAAATGCTAAATCAAAATGTAACAATGTTTAGGAGATCAATGAAACCAAACAGTCACAATAGAACTTTAATATAAAAGACAAACTGTTTTAACTGTCAACAGTAAATGTCGAATGTAAATCGTTAGCCGTTGCTGGTACTGGGCCTGAAATGAGAACATAAGACACTGTCAGTCTCAACAAAGAAATACGAATGACTGAAAATTAATTCGTTTGACGCTCAGAGTGGTTTCTCGCTTAAAGGTCTCCTAAGCCACTAGAAGCAAGTGGAAGGGATGACCACACAGAAAAAAATTCAAAAAAACAGCAGGAGATTAAAGAATTAATTTAGTCCATAATGTAGTCGTGTCATACGAAGAAAATTAAAAAATATATATAATTTTGCATTCCTCTCTATTATCCCTTTCATGCAAGTTACAATCTTCACCTTACATCTCAACATAACCGAAACGCCTTGTCTTTACCATTTTATTGGCATTTACTTTCACCCTTCTGTTGTTATTCATGTAAAGTCGGATTCGTTGTAATCCGTAAAAAGGCACCATACTGCGCCACATCTTGCATGGCGAACAGTTCAAAACTGACGATCTGCATAAAAACTGGGCTGCTTACTAGTTGGATTGTAAACGTTGTCGAAAGATTTACACTATTATAACAAAAAGACGGGTTAAAACACGTCGAAAGGTATGTATATTCTAATATATATTAGATTTGTTCTAATTCTGCCATCAAATATAATTTTTCGTTCGCCTATTTTCATTAGTTTTCTCTATCATTTCTTATATCGTTCATTTTTCTTCCTCCCATCATTTCTTTCCTATCATGCTGTGTTTTCACATGATACTTGCTATCTTTGTGGCCTGTGACAACGATATCTGCTCTGTATATAATTAATTTGTGCTGAAGAACGTCCACCGATGTGGATTCCAAAAAACTTCATATATTGAATATCTTTTCAAACCTCTAACAATTCGTTTTTTAATCCATAAAAATTTGTATATTCAGATTTAATTAATGAATAATAATTAATTTGATAAATCAGACAAACTATGAACTGTAATAATTAAAGAAGAACTATTATGAATCTACCGAATTGCTAGATCATTAACTACATAAAAGGATAAAAAGTTAATTACTTGGCCCATTCAACTTTCAAGATGAGATGTTCGTAGCGATGTCCGGACAATGTCTCTATAGCTTTTTCTGCCTCTTCACGTGTTCCATATGACACAAAAGCATAACCCTAAAAGTTACTTTTAGTTGCCATTAGTCATACTAAAAGGTTGAACAGAATTTGCATAACGGTAGTCACAATAAAATCTTTCGTTGGATTCACTTTCGATTCAAACGCAAAAGAAAAGTCACTTTATGACAAGCAAAAAGCAATTAACGCGAAGGTACTTAGTTTAAAATCAGTGTACGTGAACAGCACAGGTAAAAAACGAGGTGTAGAGAAAGCAAGCTTCGAGTCCACCAACCTAACAGACACGGAGCATGGACAAGGTAGCATCCTTCCGTCATCGTGAGACTTAACGATGTGAATTAACTGCTGTTTTCCAAAAATACACGACACCAATTAAGGTTAAACAAGTAAAAATAAAATGATCCTTTCCAGAAAATTCCCTTTAACAGTGGTTAGCTATAGAATCAATACTCTTCGCCTTCGCTGATGCTCTCTAATCAGCCTGCAGTCACCCTATACGATTTTCATCGCTTCTTACAACATCGAGCAACTTCTTCTTAGATTCCTCCTCCTTTATGCAGTGATTATCGGTGTTCACGCCAGATATCCTACGTAATACTGAGGCGTCTTGTTTGCAAGCGGTCGAACCAACTTAGCCACTATTCCGTCAGTTTTACTGTTATTACACTCCTCATAGTGCTCTTGTATGAAGCTGTTTCGGATGCTCGATTTCACATTCATCTGAGCATCATCGTTTCTAGAGGATTCAGTTGTTTCCTACGTATCTTCAACTAAACCTAAAACGTACCCTCAGACAACAATATTACTCTTACCAATGTTCTACATACCTCGTATTAACATTTATATTGTACACGTAAAAGTGTGAGCACATAATATAAACTCATATATCGCACATAATTTATCGTTCACCGTTGTTACGATCTTTTAGCAATCATTGTAAATCCATCGCGAATGCCCTTCGTGACCTACTCCTGCAAGAATGATAAAAAGTACTTTACATATAAAGTACTTATATAAACCGAAAACAGCACAAAATACGGTGATACTTAAACACAACGCCAACTATTTAGCCAATCGAATGATTGACCACTGCCGACGTTTCGGTTCGCGGACGGACTTTCTACTAAATGGAGAGCTCAAAGTTAGCTTCAGAAGTTCACTTCGTCGCTCACATCTGTTTTCAAGTTTGGATCAAGAGGGAAAACTTTTAATCTGTTCTGAGAATCAAGGGGTTACTTGATGAAAGAGACGACAAAGTATTTATATACTTAATATATAAATATTTCATGTACCAAAAATACTTATACAATCATGTCTGAAAGTCACTTGCGGACTAATAGTAAATTTCAGTTCCAGAATAGAAACATGGAAGAGAGAGCAACTTCATTGTCTCACCTTGCATTTATTCGTAATCTTGTCTTTCGCCAAATATATTCGGTATACTTTTCCAGACTTGCTGAAAATGTCTTTCAACACTAGATCGGTCGTATCTTCAGGCAAATTGGTAACGCGAACGGTAGTATCGTCTAAAGTAGAGAGATTCAAGTATTAAAAAATACGCATACAATATGAAAACGAACATTTATGAAAATAATCACTTTAAAATAAATGAAGCCCTCCAAAATCCGACATCAGCATACTCGTCGCGAAGAGTAAATAAAGATAAAAGTAAGAATCACATGACAAGTCAAAGCCTTGTGGAGTGTATACTCATGAGTCGTGAAAACCTGACATGAAATTTTTGGCAAGCGACGTGAACATAGCTGACGGGACAGTTTCCCATGCCTTTAAACGGACTGTGGGAGAGGGACACTGTGGTGTTGATTCTAAATAAAACAAACTCAGTTTTATTCATCATGGTGTCTAACCCATGGATAAAGATGATTAACACTTGAGCAAGATGGACAGAAGATTCAAACGTTACCAAATAAACAATACAAGGAAATGATACTGCAAAATTCTTTTATGTCACTAAGATCACCAAAACCTAATAAATTAACTGTAATTATACTGCCAAGTTCTTGCATTCATTTCATAATAAATTCTGATTAAGGAATAATATTTATCATCATTAAGACAGGTAGAAAAATTTGTTGGTGAGTTAGTATTCCCACTGAAAATTGAAAATTACATAAAATGGTTTACATACACAAATCGCTAACGAATAAGTTGGTCATTCATGTGACTGACCAGTACCGACGGTTCGGCTAGTCTCTCACGAGCTGTCTTCAGGTTCCGGGTTGACTTCTGCATTTGGTTGTGTAGTCCGCAGCTACTATTGCGTCTGGAGCCAAAGGTGATCTTAGCTCATGCCGCTCACGGGCTTGATAAGGCTCGTCTCACACCTTTGGCTCAATAC